ATTCAATGGTGAATCCACATTTTCCAAGGAGTTTCTAATGCGTGTGATCTGACCGAGCAGATGTGCTTTCCTTCTGTTAAACACGGTGAGTTCTGATAGTTCCTTTGGAGCCATTTTGAATTTTGGCTCGGGCTCGACACCGACCACAAAACTGGGTGAGGTCGATAGCTCTGATTTTAACCACAAATGGTGTGGTTATTCTAGAAATGTCTAGAACGGATTATGAGCAGACTTTGAGTTATGTATAACTTGACTGCTCAAGCAAAAGGCGTGGACTGTATACTTTAAAAATGGTTTGTTTATTGAGGACGGTAGGTACGTCCGCTCCGAGGATGCATTACAAGCATACTGACGAAATGTAAACAAGGAGGACTACTAGCGCCCTCTGCACATGCGGTCGTAACACATACTATCAAATCAAAAGATGTTTTCAAATTCCGCAACACACAACTAATATTAGAAACTAGTTCCTGTGCTTGTTTGAATGCAGTTACAATAATAATGACAACTGAAGCTTAAGTATATTTATTGCTTACTATGATGTTTCTGCAATATTATTAAATGAATGAGGAGGAACTTATTGTCAGAATAAAATATATTTGACATTTATTTACTCTTTCTATACAATTGTTAATTTTCCACAATTGCCATTCTGATAAATATAATATTTGCAATATTTTCAGTCGACGTGTTGCCAACCAATAAAAGATGCAAATGCTACACAGGTTATGGCAACATTTTTTTGAATTGGTGATGTCTTTCACTTGTTGAAAATTTGATCATCCTGTACTTTTTGATTAAAAATGATATTTTATAGTAACCTTGTTATCTTCAGGCTGCTTTTTCAGAAAGAAACAAATTTACATATACCTATCCTTCTGTATGTACATGATATTTTAACGAATTTTGTTTTAATATAAATAATCTGTATTATTGGCTAAAAAAATGGGAAATTAATGATCTACTGCACATGTGCAGTATAAGTTTTTCTTTAAATACATATATTTCATTGAATGTCAGTACTTTTCATTATAAATTTCAAAATAATATTTCTCTTGCATGTTTTCAATTGTGCTATATATTTTATAAAGTTTGATTGCAAATTCCGAGTATTAGAAACAATGCAAAACAAATATAAAAAATTCAGAATTTTTTGAAGAAACATTTGTATTATGTTTTTTTAAATAAAAATGTATGCAGGCATTGAAAATAACTAAGGTAATATTGCCTAAATGACTAATTACTGTGGCAGCTTGATGACAAAATCTAATTTTTTATGATACAGGGGAATAAAAAGATCACACTGCCTTTCTTTTGCAGTTTGTTGGTTATCATCTAAATTCTCAAGCTGTGAAACTTTATAGAAAAGCATGCATTTGAACATGTTTTTTACATGCCCCAAAATACATTTTGCTAATTCTTTCTTTAGAAAATTGAAGAAATATCTAAAATCCAAAATGTGTCTAGTGATTTTTGGCTATTAATTTTAAAATACATTGCAACATTAAAGGTATAATGTTGTAATGTATTTTAAAATTAACTTATAATACTGTAAAATGAAAACATAGTGTAGGCATTGTTACACAAAGTTCACTTGCATTGTAAATTATTTTTATGTGCTCTGTTATAAAATCTTTCAAGTTATAAGTATCTTTTCTGTTTCATTACTTTCCTTCATTCACATCTTTGCAATGCATGCATGATGTCTGCAATTGATTATCATTACTTTTTAAACTGCAACACCAGTATAGGGTATCATTATTCAAAGTATTGTGCTTTATGTTGCTGTTGTTGCACGCCCCCATTGGTCAGCAGTGCTTGACCAGGTCCATGACATCGTACACTTTCAAAAAATTCAACACCACCAAGAGACCGTCTGCTAAATCCTGCTTGGTGAGCCCTAGGCATTCAAGGATGTGAGCAGGCGAGGCGGGCTCAGAAGAACAGTCCGTGCACATTTCAAAGCTCTTGCATCCTTCAGAAAATTTCATTGATTTAAGATGGCCATTTCGAAAGCGGGCTAGAAGGGTTTGATCCTGTCTTTTAAAACCATGAGCCATAGAGCCTACAGGACGAGAACACTGATACCAATGGTGCTCTAGGGGGACAATCCAAGCTGGTCTTATTCTGATGTTTAGTTCTAGAGAAAATCTCCAAAAAGGTGAGGGATGCTGACAGCTGTGGTACCTTGCAAGCGCCAACCTTATACAAAGTGTCCCCAATCTCATTTCCCTCTAGATCTATGTGAGAGGCAATCCACTGCAGATGAATTTGATGCGATGTGGAAAGTCAGGTGCTCTAGTCCAGTGGCTAACAGAGGCTGCAAGTTTTCCCCATCCATTAATAGTACACCTTCTATTATGCTTTATTTTTTTCATTGTTATATCTCATAATTACAAAACAAAATGTAAATGCTGATCAAAATGTGAAATTTTTCATTCAAAATATAAAACATATAAATTTTAAATTCTAAATAAATTTTTCATCTAAATTGATCTATAACTGAACAGTTGTTAATTATAATGCTTTTGAAATTTTTAGCTTGTCTCTTCTAAAGATTTTGGTATGTAAACCTTTTTTTTTTTTGCAAAGTGCTTCTGGCAATGATAGGACATTTTGTCTAACTGACCAGAAGGAAAATTTTGTATTGCTTGTTACTCTTGCAATTTGCAGTGCAAATTCTGATCAATTTGTTACTTGTTCTTAAAAAATAATACTGTACATTCTGATGAACTTTCAAGATGTATATCTCTCTTATTTTATAAAATTTTTTTCGAAGAATAAATTTGTCCTTATCTTTCCAAAATGTTATATACTGTTAAACTAATATATAGTTTATTCATACCATTTGTTGATTTCCTACTGCTGAAATTATTACTTAAGCTAATTGTCCATGGGTATTCCAATTTGGAAAGGAATGATGTCTGCAATCTCTTGTTCAGGATTTTTGAATCTCTATAAAGTGTTCTAATTTTTATGATGCAAAGTTGTGACAATCTCAAATTTTATGTGCTGCAAAATTTTGTCCCATCTTTTTTGTAAAGGACTCATTGTGTTTTAGCTGCATGTATTTCGTAATGCTTGTGAAATTGGTTGTTTACATATAGTCTCAATAGTATTTTTCCAGCTAGCTAGAACTAATTTGTTGCATCATTTTTTGCCCTTTTTTTTTTCAGCTGATCCTATCCAACGAATAATGGTTTTTTGCTAATGAATGCTTAAACTTTTGAGGCTTTATATTTCTCCTAACTCAATACTATTTATTGAATAAATCTTATTTTTTAACTCATTGCTTTATTTTTTTAAAAGAAATTGTGTGCAACATTGAATTATAATTGCTGTTTCTTATAAACTGTATTCCATTTTTTCCTATTGTTGTATGTAAACTTGTAACAGATTTAAATATGTGTAATGTAGTTGAATTTAGTAATTTACAAATAGTTGATATTTTAGGGAGCATTTGTTTGATATTGGTGATTCCATCATAATAACTATTTTTTTTTACAGTATATTTTAGTTGGCCTGATCCTAATGCTGCTCCTGCTTGGCAATTGTTGGGTTTTATTTCTAATACAAAGCCTAGTGCAATATTCAAAATTTCTAAATTAAAATCAGGTTAGTGATTTGAATGTGATATAATATTGAGTATAATATTTAATATTTTTTATAATTATTTATGTATTATATATATATAACTATAATTATTTTAAATTTGTATATTTTCCAAAACATGCATGTTGCACAGGAAATGTTAAAAAGTGAAGTTATATTCTCCCTAATAGGAAGATAGTTGGGGGGTGATAATAAAATGTTATTGATACTTTTTTGGTAGCGATAATAAAATGAATAATTTTAGAAACCTATAAAAAACAGATTTTAAATTCATAGTCTGTAGAAATCTTAAAATAATACAAATAATCATTTGTGAAGCATGCTACAAAAAGTATTGAACTAGAATTATATTGTATTGAAAGAAAATGGATGCTTTTTTTTATCAATAAATGCTGATGATATGTGTTACAATAATGCAAGTGGTAAGTGGTGAATTTTTGAGTTAAAAATAGTTTTTTTTAAAATTTGAATAATCTTAGATATAAATACTAGTTTTTTTAATAAAGTTGAAACATTCAATCAATATGCAATTTTTCACTTAAATAAGTATAGTAAAACATCTTTTGACAAAAAGTTAAGGAGACAGGGTATAGTATATGCATTCACTGGGGAAAAAAGGTAATTTAAGTGAAAACGAGTAGTATATATATTTCTCTCTCTCTCTGTGGGATAGGAAATATATGTATTTTCCTGTCTCCCCCCCAAATAGTTTTCATTAGGATCCTATTCTTTTAACATTAGACAAAAATAGCCAGTGCCGGTTTAAGTTCATTTCGGGCCCCAGGCATAGAAGATCTACAGGCCCCCTTGTCACTAGTGGATCAAAATTTATAACCAAAAATCAGGATAAGTCCATCTTATTCAGGTCCTTCTGAGCCCCTCTGGGACCGGGTGCCCGCCCCAAGCACCTAGTGGATAAACCGGCACTGAAAATAGCCTTAAATGAATCAAGATAGGTGTGAATATTTTATAATACTATACAATTATGTATTTTGACAATGATTTCTTTTATTTAACTTTAAGAAATTTTGATTAAATGTTCAAAGATCCTTGTAGTTTTCACAATTTTCTACACAATCTACTGAGTTTTGTGTTTACAAAACATTGATGTATTAATATTTTCACTCATCTTTTAATGGTGCTCATTTTATTTTTCAATTCCTACTATTAGTTCACACTCTCCCTATATATTTATATATATAACTTCAAATTTTCAATGGTTAATAAAATACTTTTTTATTCATCCACTCAAGTTAAAATATATTTTTTTAAACTTGTAGTAGATGACACTTGATGTTAATACAGTTTTTTAAAATACTAATTCTATTTAATTAATGAATAAATAGTAACAAACAAAAATAATAGTCCAACACCATTTATAAAAAAATCGCTCATGGTGTCCTTGTAGCACGTTGGTCTTCTAATCCAAAGATTGTGGGTTCGAATCCCACCTGGGATGGCCTAATTTCTGAGAATGTGTTTTCTTTTTACTGTACTATTTTATTGTGGAATAAGTAAATTTAATTAATCAATAAATAGTAACAAACAAAAATAATAGTCCAACTCCATATATAGAAAGGAAAATGGAAAACTGCAAAGTAAATAGCTTTCTATTTTGCCACATAATGTTGTGATCCTGTTATAAGTATATGCATATTTATATTAGTCGTAATTATTTAATAAAAAGTAACTAAAATAAAATTTTCTCTGTTGATCTAAGTAGGAATTGACTTTAACTTTTTTTTATATTACTTGTGTGTGTGTGTTTCTGATGTGTCCTCTATAGAATATTACAAATAACAAATATATATTTAATGTTATGTTTTATTTTTTAGATTCAAATATGACCACTCCATTTGGTGTGCAACCAATTTCTCATGTGGCACAAATAGGTGTTTCAATAGAACCTCTGCAACAATTGGAATTGCAGACTCCCATTACCTCCAGCACTCCATCCAATGTGGACTCTTTCATGGAATATACTAACAAAATGCTTGAAAACTTTATTAACTACATTTGTTCTTTTGCTATTTCTCCAAACCAAATTACAGCTAGTCCTTCCGAAACTTATGTTCCAGTAAGAACCGTTCAACAATGGTATCTCAATTTCCAAAGGCGTTTACAGCAGAATCCTAACTTCTGGAGAACTTGATGGAATGTGAAACTTTTCATTTATAAAGGACTTTACCATGATGTATGCATATATTTTTTGCAGCATTTCCCCCCTATTATTTTAATTTATATTTTTGCTGTGAATAATCTAAAAAAAAATCATTTGGTTTCTTTTTAATTTAATCTTTTTCTAATGCGTATGTTTATAAATTAATACAATAAATGTATATTTCTTTTCCTGGGGAAAGAATCACTACTTTTAACAACATTAGAAATGTTTAAAATGAATCAATTGAAATTGCATTGTATTCTCTTGTATATTGCATATAAACTCATATTCTGTATTAAAATTTAGAAGGATTATTTATTTTACTTTGTACCTTAAAAAAATTAATGTGTTTAGGGAGATTAATGAACCTTAAAAAGTTAATGTATACATTAAAAAATTAATGTATGTAATTAATGTTTAACCCCATGTCAGCGATTTATCATGAAGAAGTTTGAGAGTTATGACTAATTTCATTTTGAATTTATACATTCAGCTTCTTGACTGTATTTTATATTCAACCTAAGGTTGGTTGAGTTAATGAATGGCAGGGCTTACTACATAAATACACAAACTTCCTCATTTTGTAAATTAAAAATTAGCTAAAATTAGACTAGATTCTAACATGGAAAGTAATTATAAATTTTCTGAATTAGGAACAGAAATTTTAAATTATTCGTAATTTTATTTTAGTAGTTTTTAGTTAATATTTTTCTGAATTGTTTTTGATTTCTTTCTTTTTTTTAAAAAAAAATACATGCAAAATAATTTTGTTTTGTCTTGTTTGATGTAAAATATAAGCGTTGATTTATTGCATCAAGTTTGAAAAGAAAAATATATCTTGAAATGTTTTGATTGTCTCACTAATTATACAATGAAACATGTTGATGGTTTACATGAAATGAAACCAAGTGCTGCATATATGTGGCTCAAAAAACTGAAGTAATTTTTTACTACATTTTGTGTCTTTGAATACTTATTCTTCTAATACTTGTATATTCCATAGAATTTTATTTTTAAATATTCTTAATAAATAAAGTTCTAAGTAATCCCTTGTGAATGCTTCTTTATTTAATATGTTAATAATTAATGTAAGTATATGCGTATATTCAAAGTTTTGATTTATTTTTTTTAAAAAAAATGTCGAATTTTAAGTTTTGATTACCTTAAAATATATTTTTTAGGTGTATATATTTGGAAAAAAAATTTACAAAATAAAAAGTTTGTTCAAGGCTAGACAGTCTTTGGCTAGAAAAAAATATCTTAGTTACTTTGCAGGATTAAGATTCTAATCCGAGTCAAAGTAGGCCCCTTGTGCCTTCACACACTTTTTTGGCCCAGCATTCCTTCCACTGCCAAAAACACTTCTAGAATGCTGTTTTAAAATGTTGTTCAACTCTGCTATTGCATTCTGCATTATCGTATCTGCTCTGAAAATGGGGTCCTTTCAATGGCATTTTCATTTTTTGGAACAGCCAGAAGTCTGAAGGAGCCAGGTTCAGTGTTGATACGTGTCCAGTAGGTCCTGTGCAACTGAAAGACATAGTTTTTCGGGTCCAGTGACTGAAGCTTGGGAATGGATTTATTAGCCGCTCTTCGCACGATCACACAAAATTGCGTGTGGAGAACCTGTACTGATCTCAACTTGTTCGGTCTCTTGTACACTTAAAGGATGATCATTCATTATCAGAATTTCCAACTTTTCAATAACAGCTGCATTTCGAGCGATTTTTGGCTTCCCAGAACACTTCTCTCTCTCTCTCCTAAGATGCATCTACTTTTTACAAGCTTTTATTTAACTTGCAATGTAAAATGTTCGGGTGGAATCTTGCAACTCAATTTTGAAGCTGATGTCTTCAACCGATTGAACTGAAATTTTGTATACACATTTAGTTTGGATGACAATGCATGTTTTGACCCATTATATTCCGATATCGCAATTAGTTAAAAAGACTAGCGGCATGGACCGGCGTTGCACATGCTTTCTCTACTTTTATAAATCTTCCCTTTCCTTCACAAAATCAGCACTTCTAATGCTCTTTTTCAAAATGACTTCCACCCCCTTCCCCTTCTTCGCTTAGCCCGGCGTTCCTCGGGATTTTACCAAGTGTATAATTTGAAATTCCCTGTTACGAAATTTTTTCACTCCTTTTCTTTGTCGCACAGATTTATTTCCCCCCGGCGTTGCACGAACATTTTTAAATGCATAACATATTGTCATGGAAATTCCCCATCTCTCGCTATCAGAGTTCTCATGTAAGTGAGCATTCACCGATTCTTAAGCAACTTGACACGTGCAGTCATCTAGTGGCACAAAAAGTAATAAATTATTGCACAAAAGAAAATTCGTGAAAAAAAGTTTTCGAAACTTTATTTTTTAAATCACTAACTGTAAAACATCAAAATATGAGTTTTTTAAAAATCAGCTTCATATAAACGCATCGAAATTGATTCATTTTAGAAAAAAAAAATCAAAATATGTCAAGTATCATTGTTTTGTAACAAAAAAAACATTGAATTGTGACGAAATAATTTATCTTTCCTATTACAAAATTGCTGGCAAAGTTATTAAATGCGTGAATAAAATATGAGTATCTTTTTTAAAAAATCATAAAAACTAAGCGATGATGTTGCTTCGAACCAGGATACAGAAGTTACTAATCTAGCGCTCTGAGCCACCGCCCACAAAATCTTGTGAAAAAAAAAATAAGACAGTTGAACAAAAGGAAGAGATATTCAATTTTGCATTGCGTTATTTGTTAAAATTTAAAAAAAATTTTGAGCTTCACTTTTAAGTTAATGCCTTCAAACTTCATATATCGATAGAAAACAACGGTAATTTTTAAACAAAAATAATGCTTAAATATTTCTCGCAGAAAGGGAGAAAAACGCAATTTATTTTAAGCCGTAATTTTTAAGCAATTTTTTCTTAATGTTTTCTTTGTACAAGTTACAGATAATATTGTTCTACACACGGAAAAAAAAGTTTCACGAGATTATTTTTGTAAATAAAGAGATTATTAAGTATTTAAATAAAATTTTGAGCATCTTTTGAAAAATTGTAAAAAAAAGTTTTTGACATTTTATTTTTTAAATGACTGATTCTAAAAGAAAAAAAAACATGAATTTTATTAATGTAGAATATGATTTATTTAACAAGAAAGAAGATGGATTCGAAACGATTCAGAAATCATTCTAATGAAAACGTGTTGATTTTGACTCGTAAAAAATAAAAAAAATATCATTATTTTGCAAAGAAAATCATACCGTATCGTGGCGAAGTAAATGATCTTTCCGGTTTTTTAATTATTTTTTGTCTGAGTCTCATAAATAAAATTAGATCGTGTTTCAAAAACGTCAGGGATAATAAAAAAGGTCGGAAAATCGGAACTTCGCCGCCTGGCGGGATAAAATTGCAATAATTATGCGTTTTAAGGTTTTTAATTAATATCTTTTTAACTAATTGCACTTTCGGAGTATAAATGGTCAGAACAAATTTCTCGGATCAGTCAATTAGCCAGGGTGTTTCTCCTCATTAAGGACAATTAACTTCCCCAGGCACCATTCACAGGTTATGATATGGGATGGAGGCTCGCTTCGCGAGCCATATGCCCAGCGACAGTCTCGGATCAATCTTTTGGTACCTTTGGCGAGTTTCGGCGTCGTGCAGTTCCTGAGAAGATACTCCTAGCTGTATAGTCACATACGTTTGCTTACCTTTGAATTTAAATGGTGTAGATATTAACTAAAGTAATTTTTTCGGGTGGAATCCTGCAACTCAATTTTGAAGCTGATGTCTTCAACCCATTGAGTTGAAGTTTTGTATACACATTTAGTTCGGTTGCAATGCATGTTTTGATGATTTATATTCCGATATCGCAATTAGTTAAAAAAATATTAATTGATAACCTTTTTCCCCTGTTAGCTTTTTATTCTGCCGAGCAGCTTATCGAATTGAGTTTAAATAGGTTCCGATTTTTTTACCTTTTTTTAAAAACCATCTTATTCTTTCTATCAAACTGAGAAAAAAAATAATTACCTAATCGGAAAGATCATTTATTTCGCCACGATACGGTATAATTATAATGATATTTTCTATTTTTTATAATTTTTTCTAAAATGAGTCAAAATCGATGCGTTTTCATGAAAATGATTTCTAAATCGTTCCATATGATTTTTTTTCGTGTTATTGAATCGATATTCTGTACTAAGAAAGTTCAGGCTTTTCTCTTTTAGAATGTCATTTTAAAAATAAAATGCCTAAAACTTATTATTTTTTTACGATTTTTGAAAAAATACTTA